TTCACGCACCGCGTTGGCTCGTGGCTGTTTGCATGCAAATACTTCCTCCATTTGGCCCAGAAGATCCACCAGAACCAACAGTATTTCTACCTTGGCATGTGTGAGTTCAACAAAGTCCCATTTGGACATGTTAAATGGCGCAGGGGGGGGCGGAGGATGGGCAGCCTGTGGATAATTTGGGACTTACCCGGGTTGTGCGCGAGCAGATAGCGCATGTTTAGGCCCGAATCACTGTGCAAATGCCCGTAAACCCCTTCGTATACCAATTTAGTGTAATTAAGTTACACATCCCTCCTTTTTGAGCATGGTCTCGACCAGTGCAAAAAATCGCAAAATGTCTGAAGAAATGCCGGGTAAGCACGGTTTGAGGTCGTTCCCAGCCACACACCATCCGTCGTTGAGCCCATTTTCCCTCCCACAGCACCGTCTCTGCTGGAGAGCCAGTGCCTGCAATTGCTGACAGAGAGTAGAAAATATCCAAGTCTGAGTGAGTAGTGTGGTGTGTGTAGATTTACTGTTCCGTTACATCTCCATTGCTTTCTCCGCAGATCGTCCTCATTCATATTGTGGGTCTTTGTGCCAAAGCAGAGGCTCAATTTCCTCATGATCCATACAACTGTCATCCCCTGAAGCAGGGTAGTTTATCTCTCATCTGAAAAAGAAACGAGTAGAACACACAAATGCCACTTCCCTCTCTTCGCATGGTGCAGCCTGTCAAATCTTTTCCAATGGGGTAAAACATAACTGCATTGACAGACGGTCGTGTGAACATCAGGGCAGAGGCTGTACCAAATACAGACTTAACAATATTATGTTTCTATTTTATACTCCCCCTAAATGTGAGTTTACAAACCAAAGTTGTCCGCCGCCCAATGACAGCTCACTGCGGTTGGACCGAATCACTGTCAGGGACAACAGCAGAGGGAGGGACTCCCAGTACCTTCACAAGGTATTTCATCTCAGAAAAAGTACTTTCCTCAGAGTACTTTTTCTCAGAGTACTCATCCCAGAGTACTCTCACTTTTACACCTGTTCAATAAAGCTTGTTAATCTTTGGAATCTCTAGTACTTACAACCGTAATGCTGTTGACAAAAAATAATTATTCATGATCACATAAAACATTACAGGAAAACATTTGTTATTCCATTCTCGTATCAGCACTCCTCATCTCACATCCACTCGCATCACTCACACAGCCGCCCCCACGGTAGTATATTGGCTCAGAGTTTGTTAAGGTCAACGAGTAGTACTTGACAAGACGCACAACATAATAACCTACAACAAACATATAAACACACAACATAGAAACAACACCGACAGGCCTGTAATTTATCTTTGTTATATTTCCATGTTCCCCATTTACACATTGTCTCAATGAGCTATTTCTATTGTTGCAACTTTCAGAGCCTGCAAGAACCATGCAGAGCTTTAAGAGATTTTTCCTAAAAGGATCCCATTTTCAAACTCTAGTGTTTAAACCACGTGGTCTGTACTCGGGCTTATCACAGATTGTGTCCCTATATCTTTTAATACTCTTGTTACTTTAAATGTTTCTTTCCGTTCTTTTTTCTTTTTCAGTAAAGCCAGGTCGGATTCATTAAAAAATGTAAATTAGTTCAAACTTTAATACTTCACCTTTTGTTTCACGTATCATGTGGAAAAAGACCCATTGTTTTATGTGTGTGTACTTGCTCCAAATCATGTCTCAGAGAACGCCAACAGTCTTATTAAGACAATAACTGTCCTAATAGTTTTCTAATTTAGCATTTGCAGAGAACCACGTGTCCTCATCTTGGACCCTTGTCCAGTCCCCAGCATTGCTACACTATATCAATAAGGAACCAGAGCCCACTCCCACGCTGCATCGTGGTTTGGACAAAGCTATGTGCAAAGCGGGCATAGTGGGTCGATAAAATGTTCTTTGTTTTGCTCAATTAAGTAACACAGATACCAAAAGTATGCCTAACCCAATAAACATACCCGTTTGTACCCTATCTTCGCTACACTGAAGCCATGAGTTTTCAAACTCAGTTATTGTTCTGGAACGACCGAGAGAGCAGCTATAGGTCTTCGCTGGTTGATCTGACCTCCCAAAAAAATTTTGTGCGGGCTTAACTCAATCCACTGTTGTGGCTAATAACTTAGCAATCTCAGGGTTGGTGTCAATTCCCAGTGGTAGTTAACTTTTGGACCGGTGCCTCCTTTTGCATGCCGGTGAAACATGGAGCATTGCTAGGTCACTAGCGTGTACCACCCGTAGGCCGCTTGGTGTTGAAGAGCAGATGTAAATTGAGTCTGCACATAAGGTCTCGGCCTAGTAGATTAACCGGGCACATGGGGAATATAGAAACGAATGTTTAAGCAGGTTGCCTGAGAATCAAAACACGTTAGCGGTGACGTAAATTGCTCTTTAGTCGTCTCTCCGACGCTGCTAATGAGAATGTGAGACGGCCCTCATTTATGGAGACAGAAAGCTGTCACGTTTTAGCAACAGAATGTGTTTGCCCCGGAATCAACTAGAAAAGTAACTTTTTCGCCACAGATTGTTAGCGTATGTGCCGGAAATTTTAGCATGAAATTTCTCAAAAAATGTGTATGCCCGATTGCAGTTGGTTCAACTTACGTGAAAGATGAGTTGATGCTTTGGTGACGTGTAATGTGTGCGTTTACCCTGTAGATGAGATCCTCTTCCGTACGGTTTCCATTCGTGGCTTCCCCTGTGTTCACCGCCAGCCCGCTGTCTGTCCCCGCCTAGTCATCCGCCTAGTGGCGCATCTGGTGGTTGCCGTGTTGTGAGCCTCATAGCGGGTGCTGTATGTCCCCGATTGAACTCTGTTGTGCCTGGTGCCATGTGTTGCTGCTGGAACTGGTCCGGCTCTCGGTTGTGGTTTTGTTCCACTCCTGCGGACTTCAGATTCTGCTGCCACTGCTGCTGCCTCTCTGCCGATCCTCTCTCACAACAACAACGGAGTGGTGGGGGGGGGGGGGGGGAAAGGGGGGGGGGGGAAAGGGGGGGGAGGGAGGAAAAGAGAGAGATCGGCAGAGAGGCCAGCAGCAGTGGCAGCAGAATCAGAACGTCCCGCAGGAGTGGAAAAAAAACCACAAACCGAGAGCCGGACCCAGTACCTGCACCAACACCATTGGCACCAGGCACAACAGAGTCAATAACTGGAACAACAGAACCGCTCTGAAGGCTCACAACCAGCGGCAACACCCAGATGGCGCCACGAGGCGGACTGAACTAGGCGGGACAGACAGCGGGCTGCGGTGAACACAGGGAGCCACGAAGAGAAACCGAAACGGAAGACTCATCTATTTGACAGTCTCTCTCGCATCTCTAAGACGAACTGCACGATGCTGCGGTCATTTTGTTTGGCTGAGGGACCCTCCCATTGTTTGCGGAGAAGGTCCAATGGCCCCTGAACATCCCAGCCATACAGCAGTTCGAATGGGGAAAATCCAGTTGACGCTTGTGGGACTTCCCGATAAGCAAACAAAACAAACGGAAGCCACCGATTCCAGTCTCTACCGGTGTCATCCACAAACTTTTGTAGCATGCATTTGAGTGTCTGATTAAACCTCTCCACTAGTCCATCTGTTTGTGGGTGGTATGGGGTGGTACGAATAGGTTTGATCCCCAATTGCTGCTGGAAAAGGTGCATCAACCGGGACGTGAAGTTGGTGCCTTGATCCGTAAGAATCTCATCCGGTAATCCAACTCTTGAGAATAGCTGGACGAGAGCTCGAAGAACAGCCGGGGCAGTGATGGTTCTGAGCGGGAAGGCCTCAGGAAACCTGGTCGCATAGTCCGATATGACTAGGATGTACTGGTGGCCGCTGCTGCTCTTCACCAGTGGCCCCACAATGTCCATTGCGATCCTCCGGAAAGGCAGTAGACACTACCGGTAGTGTCTTGTAAACAAGCACGCTCAGATTTGCGAACAGAACATGTTTTCTGACAATGAGGACAGGTCGCGCAGTACGTTTGGATGTCTGCATACATTGAAGGCCAGAAAAAAACGTGAGCTACTGCGCAAAATGTTTTGTGGCGCCCCAAATGACCCGCCCATGGAACAGTGTGTGCTAAGTGCATGACAAGAGTTCTGCAGCTAAGGGGAACAACCAGATGTTTACATTCATTACCCTCACTGTATAGCAACCCATTGTCAATGACAAACCTCTCCCGTCCCAGACAACTCTTTGTATCCTTGCCCACCTTAGCAAACAAACATTTCAATGTTTCATCTTTACGCTGTAATTCACCAACATTGTCGGGCACATTCCAACACAAAGGTAAAACATTCTTCGGGACTAGCAGACCACATTTGTTTTTCAAACCGCCTCTGACGGCGGGACTTCTTGGGGCCTTGGTGCCCCCCTCACACAGACTACTGATCCAAGTCTGGCAGAGGCTGGACACCTGTTTTTGCCTGAGCTCGGGTTAAAACAGGACACTGCCATAGACATAGAACAGTTACTCTTCCCCCCAGAGTCACTTTCCTCAGACACTTTTTTGTTCAACAGGTCCATGAGATACTGGTAAATCCCAACCGAGAATAGCATCCACTGGTAAGTTTTCAACCACACCCACACTCACAAGATAGGGCTGGTCTAAGGCAGTCACAGTCACATCCACAATAGGATAGGGATGGCTATCCCCATGCACGCACTGAATATCCACAGTCTGGCTGTAATCCCGTGCCGCTAACTGGAACTGAGCTACGTTTGATCAACGACATAAAGATGCCAGTGTCAAGCAATGCTGTAATCGCTTTGCCATTGATCTGTACAGTTTTATAACATTGCACAGTACCTTCAGCTTCCATTAGAGCTCACGGACTCTGGTCTTGGTGGATAACATGCCCCCACTAAATTTTGCTTTGCGCACAGGGCCACACGGATGCTTTGTGTCCTGGCTGCTGACAGTAAAACCAAAACAAGATCCTTCCCAGGTCCTCGTTGGTTTGGGGTAGAGCTGGTGGTACCTTGCCGATCTGGGTTAGCTGTCCTGTCGGGGTGGTCTGGGGAGAAGCGGTCTGAGCTGGCCCACGCTGAGCTGTAGTGCCGGTCCGGGCAGGTCCTCCTTTGCGCGCGTTGAGGTACTGCACGGCTCATACTTTGCAGCGGTGCGTCCATCGCCGGGCTCGCGCTCCTTCACCAGGTCGCACCTCGAAGGGGAAAACTCGCAGCAGCTGCTCCATGATGATTGCCTCGCCGACCTCCTCCTTGGTCCGCTACTCGGGCCGTATCCAGCGACGATAGAGACCGCTGAGACGATGATAGGTCTCCGTGGGGCTCTTTACTCAGAAAAAATAAGTGTGTTTCTATCGGCTTTAGTTCTTCTGTAATCACCATTGGAGTAAGGTAAACTTTTCACAGAAATCATCAGTTTCCGACATAAAGCTGAGAAAATGAGGTGTTTGTGAAAATAAGCAAACAATGCAGAAAAGTGACTTTGAAAAGTTTTTTTTTACTTTAGTCATTTCTCACACAACAGAACATTCTTCCCATGTATAAAATAAGGGAAATGACTCAAAATAAAGTGCTTTTGATAGCAAAATAATACTCAGAACACAGAATAAGAAATGTACAAACATAAATTACAAACAAATAACTATATACATAAAGTGCTGATTGGCTGAGAGTGTGCGTGTGTGCGTGCGTGTGTGCGTGCGTGTGTGCGTGCGTGTGTGCGTGCATGTGTGCGTGCATGTGTGCGTGCATGTGTCTCTGTCTATATAGTGTAATCTTGTTGTGTATGATATTTTGTGAAGCACTCTCCTTTGTGTAAGGGGACACCACATGCCTTGCACCACATCCTGGTCTCACTGCGCAGGCCTTTGCGCATGCAGACCCTGCATCTCCTCGAGGGTCTGGTCTTCGAGCCGGAGGACAGCAGGTACTCCACTTTGTGCCTGGCACCCTCATCGAGCCTGCTCTCTGGATCAGTGTTATATGGAGCCCTGGGGTTTCGTTGGTGCTCCTTCCTCCACACATGCAACGATCGACTCGTTCTCCTCGTTGTGGTCCTCCTCGTCCTCAATGTCCTCAATGTCCTCGATGTCCTCGATGTCCTCGATGTCCTCCTCGTCCTCCTCGTCCTCCTCGTCCTCCTCGTCCTCAATGTCCTCCTCGTCCTCATCCTGGACCTTCAATGTCCAGGACCTCATGACCCCCTGCATGAATTCCAAGAGGGTTTTGTATTCCCGGTTCCCGTTCCTGGCTCTGTAGAGAGTGTAGGCATTGTACATTGCGATTTGGAACAGGTAAGCTACAAATTTTTTGGTCCAGTTCAGAGACTTCCGGACGAACGGGTAATATTTAATGTTCTGATCTAATCGAACGCCATTCATGGAGGAGTTATAGGCATCGACACACTCCGGTTTTAGGACAGACACCTTCTCCCTCTGTCCTCGCTGCCAAACGTCGACACTAGTCATATTGTCATGGTGACATGTTGTCAACATCTTGACAATCCGTTTGTCCCGCCACGCCAGAACCATGACCTTCCCATTGTTCACCGCGACTCTCCCCCCCACACTCAGCTCAGTCTTGGTCACGTCCCTAATGCTCTCAGGCTCTCCCCGGTTCTTCCTTAGCGTCCCACACACATTTGTTTTTACTGCCATCAACTGCTCAGACAATGCCACAGAATTGTAGTAGTTGTCCATAAACAGAGTGTGGCCGGCACCTGGGAGACGGTCAAGGAGAGAAAAAACAATGTCAGGGATCGTGCGGGGCTCACCAACATAGGGCTGCAGGTTAAAGCAGTAGCCGGTGGCAGAGTCGCAGAGCACATAGGACTTTATTCCATACTTTATGGGCTTCTGTGGGTTGTAGACCTTGAAGGCCAGCCGTCCTCTCCAGAGCAACATCCCCTCATCTATGCAAATATTCTGCCCGGGTTGGAACATTACCTTGAATTTATTGATCAGGTAGTCGTAGACGGGGCGAACCTTGTATAACCTGTCAGTTACATCAATTGCAGAGTTGTCATTGTAATGGAGGAACCTCCATATGAGTTGGAACCGGTTCCTGGACATTATTTTAGTGAAGAACGGGGTCACAAACATCTCATCCACGTTCCAATACATTGCCAGGGTTGGCTTGTGGATAACACCAGTGAGGAAAGATAATGCAAAGAACTTTTTTATCTCTGGAATGGTCACTGGTCTCCATGCATGCTTTCTGCTGTGTTGCGGAATCTCTGGGTTTGCCAGGAAATGCTGTTGAGCATAGAGGTTGGTCTGCTCTGTGATGTGCTGGAGCAGCTCGTCCGTGAGGAACAGCTCCAGGAAGTCAGCAGGCGAGGTGGACTCCAGCTCTGCTGCCGCGTTCAGGGGACCAGGCGTTGCAGTGAAGGGGAACACAGTGGGTTTCCATCCGGATTTCCGCCAGGTGCCGCCTTTACCCTTTGCAACTGTAATAAATTATGGAAATGTATACAATAAATAGGAATCAAATAGAGCTCGTTTTATTGTCTTGATGTGATGTAGAGAAAGATATTCCTACCTCTTTTCTTCACACCTGTATTTGCAGGACTCACGCTGGCAGCGCCTCTGCTCAATGTAGCGCCTGTATAGAATTGTACAATAACTCATCTATCCATATACACACATATCCAAATACATATACATCTACAGACGCACATATCCAAAGACACACAGACACACATGCACAGAGACACACGCACAGAGACACACGCACACACACACTACACACTACATACATATTATACACATACATATACACACACATGCATATATACATACATATATGAGTATTTTATTTACCTGTAGGCCTCCTTTTACCAGCATTAGTACTCCTGGATTGGCCCAGCACTCTGCTTACTAGAAATACACACAAATACAATCATGAGAATTATACAAGAATACTTTTATTTCATTGCTAAATGCATATGTATAATGTATGCATTACCTGCTCTGCCGGTTGCTCTGGGGGAATCGGGGGATGAGTCACTGCTGTTTGGGTCAGCTTCAGGTTCCCATAGCTCTGAAGAGCCTGTATCCGACGAGGAACTTTCTCTGGACCGACGTGGACCACTGGAACTGCGTGCGGCGGCTCTGGAGCGACGTGCGCGGCAAGGACTCCCGCCAACGGCCAGATGCTTAGACTTAGCTTTAGCCGTAGCCTCAGGCTTTTTGCCAACTGAAGGCCGAGGCAGATCACCTCCACCTTCCTCATGGCCATCACCCACCGACCTTCTGATGGTACCACCAGCACCAAACGCCTCCTCCATCGTTAGCTGCCGCTTTCTGCTCATATTCGCTCTCCCGATTACTCTCTTGTGCTCACTCTAACCAACCTACTCCCACAATGAGATCTGGGCTTCCGGTTCCTTTTATGCCTGATCGAAGAGCTAAAGGAGGCTACTGACATCTGCTGGCCGAATAAAATACTGTCAAACAGTCCCGATCAGAGATATATGATAGAATGGATGCGTCTGGATCTGAATACACCAAAACACGTCAATTGCATAAAATGCGTCAATGGCACACAACCACAGATCTTGAATTGACGTAATATCAGAATCAGAATCAGAATCATTTTTATTGCCACGTGAGTAACAAAGTTATCACTTGGAAATTGTCTTGGCAGAGAGCGTGCCACTTCGCCATTTGCGGCGCTGTGTGCAGCAAGAACAGCAGAGAGCAATAACATTCAGGTAACAACAGACAGTTGGATAGAAAACATTGTGCTTTGTATAAACCACGGATTTTTTTCACGGGATGAGCACCTCCGGCCTGCCGGTCCAATGTGGCTGTCAGAGGGGGGCGGGGTCAGGGAGGGGGTGAGTCGGAAACACAGTAAGGAGGGGAGGGGAGGGAGAGATCAGAGGGAGGCGGGGGGAGCGGGATCCAAACTGGAAGACTGAAAGAGTGTGAAATTTTTGTAGAGACCAGATTTATTATGATGGCCTTGGCCCGAGGAATGTGAGATAAGAGAGGAGGGAAGACACAATAGGGAGAGAACACATCTCCTGTAACGAGGGACAATATTGTATGCAGTTTAGCAGTCAAAAACAGGCAGATATTCTATTAAATCCAATTAGACCAAATTACAGCGCCCTCAGACCCCGTACACAGGGGCAAATCCAAGCCGGGTCAGAGAGTTCAAGCCTGGCAGACAATGTCATTCAATCTCAATTCCAGAGTCTTATGACCATCAAGTGAACGAGCTGCGAGATCTTTGATCAACTGTTCCACTAACACCACTCTTCGTTGTCCAGCCACAGCGCTCTCAACCACGACTCGGTTAAGCTCCTTGTACATCCCATCAATTTTTTCGGCCAGCAGGTCGTGAATCTTGCGAACTGCCATGCCTCCGAATTTGTGGTAGAAGAGAACCGCTCCAAACCCAAACAGGAGGATCCCCACCACCAAAATGCCAAAGATATATACGTCTTCCGAATCTTCAATGGACAGGGTCGACAGACAGAGGGCCTGAAACTTGTTCCAGCTGTCAAGCGTATACCCCGCTGGTGAAGTCCCGTCCGGGCACACGGGCTCTCCAGACCCGCGCTTACGTGTTGAAAAGATAGAATCAATTGCATTGAGGGACCAGTTAATCATTTCCATTCTGTTAAAGTTGTCTGTGGCAAAACTCCAGGAAAAAAAGACAAAAACAGGAGATAGCAAGCCGTTCAGAAGCAGGAGCGGACTAAGACACGTCCTTGCACGACGAAGGAGGAAGGAGCAATAATATGCGTCATTGGCACTGAAAGAGTTAACAGAGGAACGAGTCAACACGCCCATTCATCTTCTGGCCATTTCCAGGTTTTTGCTATCCGTTCAAAACGCAACAGATAGTTCTCCATGTCCTCACCACTCTGGTATTGTGGTATCTTTGGCTCATTATAATGCCTCCAGTCACGTCTGGGTCGGTTTTCAGGGTTTAGAGCTTGGTGCCTTTGCTCCTCACCCTCATCACTCTCATCACCTCCCTGATGAATCCCTGCGTACTGCATTCGCTGGCCAGCAGGGGTCGGTAATCCAATCATTGGGCTCCTGTCGGACAGTGACAATGATGCCTGAGACTGGGCACGTGAAATGGGAAAGTGTGGAACCGGCCGATCTCTGGACAAAGGCGGTGGAGAAGACGGAGGGTTAGACTGAGCATTCCCCAGCCTCCGGAGTTCTACCAGCAACCCTTCTTCCCGGCGTTGCTGTCCAGCCAGAAACTCCCTCATTAACATCACCATATCCTGTCCAGGCTCCGAGAATGGCCCGGGTTTGACTTCCAGTTTCTCTTCCTCTTCGTCCGTTTCCCATGCTGCTCCAGCGCCCCCTGGCTGTTGCACATGGCTCTGAGACCGCAAACCTGTGCGCTTGGGTAGACGAACACTTTTCTTCCGGCTTGCCATCCCACCACTGCCACCATCTGTCGTGGGTTACTTCAGAAAAAATACAGGCGAGCTCGGATTGCAGTGATTATTCGTGTTTTTATTTTCCCCAAAGTGCATAAAAATTGGTACAGGCAGTGCAGAGCATATGTACAGTGAATTTAGCAAAAAAAACAACAGGTCCACTCGGACACATAGATCACCTTTAATGAGTCCAGGTAGTTACCTCCTCTGTAACCAGCGGCAGACTGACGGGTGCCAGACACGGCTCTCCTTTATAGTCCCCTTTGCTCCTCCCATTGAGCAAAATAAATTATTACAAATAGGACGTATAAACAGAGAATACATATATGGACCCATTCCCTATTGGTCCAACACAAAAACCTATACTCTACAATGAAACATTAGGCCATTATAAGTACATTTAATCTTGGGGACAATTCCCCACGCTCCCAGGGCGCATTTAACCCGCCAGGAAGTATGGTCCTGGTTTGATCCTCGCGCACAGATGCAGAGGAGCGCGACAGACCGGTACGTGTATGAATGTATGCTTAAAGGTATTTCTAGCCCGCACAGTGTGCACCCCTGGGCGAACTAGTAACTGAGGGAAGAGAGGGACAAGAGTATGGATGATGCATGTGGATGTTAAGCATTAATGGAACGGAAGGAAAAAAAGGGGTGCGCGCGTTTGGAATGGCGTGTGTGTGTGCGTGCAGGTGTGCGTGTGGCGCATGCGGCACTAAAGTCAGCCTTTACTTTAAAACTCAGTCCGCGCACGTAACTACAGACGGACCCGCTCCGTCACACTATGAAAATCTACCAGGCCTAGATCTGCCCTGTGGCGGGACTAGGCTAATGAGGGAGCAGGCTCTCTGTTACCAATCTGTACTTCTCGCTCTCTTCCGGTTCTGCTGGAACCTACTGCTGTTCTAGCTCTGTAACCAAGAAAGAATATTATAACAATAACTGTAATTACGGAATTGAACTTCTCCATTAATGCGATTTGATAACAATTGCCTCGGTGAATAAATCACAGTCAACAAAGCTGTTGCAGCGCATGTTTTGATAATCTTAGTAAATTAACACTGCCGTTTTAGAGCACACACCTTAGGACAATTAGACTGAAGTAATGTTATTGATAAAACCTTTGTCTTCTCAAAGACTGGTGCCCTAAGATTTAAATAACTTCAAATGAATCAGGTATAATCAATCAGAAATAGACCAGATACTTATAAATTCCCTACATATTGATGCCCCATTTGGAGACAAAAAAAACTTGATTCCTGAAAATTATATCATACAAATTCACTGTGACCAATCCTTTGTAAACTGAGGAACTTCACTGGAGAAATCCAATCTAAAGTCACAGTATATTTTTGTGTAGCATTAAACGTGCCTGTGTGGGTAGCTAATCCCACTGGAGGACCTCTTGCTAACGGAACGTCGCGTTTAGTCATAGCTTTGAGATCAGGCGGTGTGTTAAACGGCCCCTGGAACGTCGTAAGTGGCCCTGTTCATTTACGCTGCCTCTTGGTTGCTTTACAGGCTGGAAGTCACTCACAGCCATTATGTCTTGAACTAAGTAAAGAAAAAGCGTGTGAATTTACAGGTGTGGATATTGGAGATGTTGTTTGAGCACGAAGCGTCATAAAAATTGCTGTTATCTCCAACCGTTCTTGACCCTCCAGGAGGTGCTGTGTGAGCCACATCTGATGTGTGTCTGTGGGGAGGGGGCTGTAGAGCCTCCCTTATCCCTCTCACAGCCTCCAGACATTGCTCACTTAAACAGGCTGTATGTAAAAATGTGGTGCAGAATCTTGTTAATACTTTTCACCAGGGGTTATGTGTGCCTGTAATATGAGCAACATTTGTGGGTGTGGTTATGTGACAAAGGGAGGCTAGGGTTCCTCTAAGAATGGCAGGGAAGTCTGGTAACAAACACGAGCGAAGCAGAAATGTGGAAAAATATACAAGTTTTATTTTTGACACCAATAGTTAAAAATACAACCTTTTATTTACTGTTATTAAAATCTTTAAGATATAGCAGTGAAGGAAAACAAAACACTATTCACAACAGGTTTAATGAGCCAAACCAAACAGCAGCGGCTAACTGTTGGGTAGAGCACAGTACTGTTAGAATACACAAGACACTTAAACAAAACTTGTGAGGAACGCGGCATACCTCGCATGAACATCAACCCGGCGCAATATGAAGCTCAGGCATGAAGCGGACACCAGCAGACCACCACCTGCCGTGACACAGGTTTAGCCAAGAAAACAAACATTACTCACATGCAGAACTCACATTACTCCTCTGCCCCACACACACGACCCCAAACCCGAAGCTCCAGAGGTGTGCTGCTCTGGTTTGCGCACCGGCTTTACATTACTGCTAATTAGCTGCAGCAGCTGGTAGGTAGACAGCAAGGGAGCGAGTGCGTTCACTGACCGCCGGAATAAAACCCATAAGTAACCCGCCTGGTTACATCTACCCCCCCCCCCAACTGAATCGGTGTCCCACCGGTTAACACCACCTATGACCACGGACGGAATATAGCGGTTGCTAAGCTACTGGCACCCTGGATCCGAGAGGCAGCAACCCTATTTTCCTCGTGGTGGATCGGACCCGGTAAGCGATGGGGATTGGAATGCTGCCCTGCGGTCTTGCGTGTCGACTTACGCAGTGCAGACCCGGCGCGAGAAGGCACCACTGGAGATGGACTGGCGACAGGCAACTCCCGGGCGAGTGGCTCGACCGGCGTAGAAGGGGCACTGACCGACTCCCTGACCACCAGCCAAGCCCCCAACTCCAACTCATCTCCCCTGGCCTCGTCCTCTACGAACGCCACCTGTGGCCAGACGTTCGAACTGGTCTCTGGAGGGGGCAAAGCAGGCTTCAGAGCAGTACGATGCACTTGTCTTACTTGGTCAAGCCTGTCGACGGGGGCGACTGAGTAGACCACACCTTGTTGGGCCGGCGCCTTCACTACCTGGTACATTGTTGGACCCCAGATATCTTGAATTTTCCTGCACCCTGGGCCAACAGCCCGAAGATACACTCTCTGGCCTGGCTCGAGCGGCGGACACAGGGTCTGGCTGTCGTGTCTCTCCTTCCTTTGCTGGGCTGCCACCTCCATCCGACAGCGGGCAGCATCCATAGCCACCTGCAAGCGATTCCGATGCTCTGCCACCCAGTCCACCACTCTCCCAGCCAGAGAAAAATCCACAGGGAGGTGGGGCTCCTGGCCGAACATCAACAGGTGGGGCGATTCGCCAGTAGACTGATGGGGGGTTGCGTTGTAGTTGAACACCAGCTGTGGGAGGTGACTGGGCCAGTCATGCTTTTCTTCAGGGGGGAGCGTGCGGAGCAAATTGTGCAAAGTCCGGTTGAACCTCTCACATTGTCCATTGCCCTGCGGATGGTAAGGGGTGGTCCGACTCTTCTCGACCCCATATAGTGCGCACAGCTGTTGGACCAATGCACTCTCAAAGTTTCTCCCTTGGTCCGAGTGTATCCGTGCCGGAACACCAAACCGATAGAACCACTGCTGGACCAGCACCTTCGCCACTGTATGTGCCTTCTGATCACGAGTTGGCACCGCCTGGGTGAATTTGGAGAACACGTCCGTCATGACCAGCACCAACTCTCTTCCATCACGGGCAGGTTCCAACAATGTAAAGTCAATTGCTAGCATTTGATTTGGTCGAGATGCAAGTACATGGCCCAGGGGTGCATGAAGCCTGGGCTGGGTGCTCTTTGCGACAATGCAGCGCTCACAGTTCTGACACCAGTCCTTTATATCACGGTCCATCCCTGCCCAGTAACACCGCTGCCGCACCACCCCAGTTGTCCGCTGGATCCCCTGATGACCGTGGTTCTGGTGCAACTCCTTCAGCACCTCCGACTGCAAACACTCCGGCAACAACAACTGGAGAACCTCCTCCCCTCCATCTGGTCTCAGCAGACGACGGAATAACAGTCCCTCCTTCTGTATGATACGGTCCCACTGCTTCACCAGCCCTCGAGTTCGTAAACTCAGCTTCTCCTGTTCGGCACGGCTGGGCACCCGTTGTTGGCCCCAGAATGGCAGGAAAGCACTGATGGACGGGTCGGACCTCTGGAGCACTCTCAGGTCGGCTGAGCTGCGGGATGGCAAAACAGCAATGGCGGACTGGGTGGCCTCCAGCTGACCTTGGGCTGGACCCTCTGTGATGGATGCCGGAACCGGGGTACCAGGTAGGTAGTGCTCCAGTGGGACATGGTTGGCCTCTGTAAGGTCCCTCTGACGGGAGAGTGCAACGGCGTTCTTGTTGATCCGCCCTGGCCGATACTTCACGCTATAGTTGAAGTCAGATAGCTCGGCAACCCAGCGCTGCTCCGTAGCCCCGAGCTTAGCAGTTTCCAGGTGGCTCAGTGGGTTGTTGTCAGTCCACACAACACAGTAATGGCCCCACAGGTAGTCCTTGAATTTCTCTGCCATGGCCCACTTCATGGCCAACATTTCCAGTTTCATAGAGCTATAATTTTTCTCTGCAGGGTGCAAGCTGCGACTGCCATAGGCCACGGGTCGAACTTGTCCTCCTTGCTCCTGCGAGAGTACTGCTCCTAGTCCACAGTGGCTGGCATCCACCTCTAGAAGAAATGGCAAAGTGAAATCAGCAAATGCCAAAGTGGGTGCACTCACCAGGCGGGCCTTCATCACTGTGAAGCTCTCCTCACACTCCGCTGACCAGGCCTCGTCCAGCTGAATTCCTCGACCCCTGCGATTGGTGGGTCCAACCAACTCTGCCACGGCACGATGTAGGGGAGCAGCTAGCTTTGAGAACCCCTCCACGAACCTACGGTAATAGGAGGCAAAGCCGAGAAAGGACCGCAGCTCAGAGACAGTTTTCGGGCGAGGCCAGTTTAACACCGCAGAAATCTTCCCCGGATCGGTCGAGACCCCATTCTCTGAGATGCGATGCCCCAGGTACTGCACCTCTCTCTGAAAGAAGGCACACTTTTCCAACTTCACTTTTAGTCCTTCTTGCTGCAGACGGCCAAGCACCATCTCCAGTCGCTTTAGGTGCTCCTCGACTGTTGAAGAAAATACTATTATATCATCGAGATATAGTAACAGGGATTGCCCATGCTGTGCACCAAACATTCGTTCCATGAGCCTTTGGAAAGTCCCGGGTGCATTACATAGTCCAAATGGCATTCTGTTAAACTCGTATAATCCAAAGGGTGTGCAGAATGCAGTCTTTGATTTATCACCCTCGTCACTGGTACTTGGTGGTAGCCGCACGCTAAGTCCATGGTGGTAAACCATTGGGCCCCGCACAAAGAGTCCAGGGACTCCTCAATTCGGGGCAGAGGGAAAGAGTCTCTTCGGGTTCTCTTATTAAGCTGCCTATAGTCTACACACAGGCGCAGAGAGCCATCCTTCTTGCGTACGATGACTATAGGAGAGGCGTAAGGGCTACTGCTCTCTCGGATTACCCCCGTGTCCAGCAGCTGATTAATGTGCGTTTTAACAGACTTATACTCTGAGGGAGGAATACGCCTATAACGCTGGCGCACTGGTGCATGGTCTAAAAGAGGAACATCGTGGGAAATGAGCCCAGTACAACCCAAGTCCCCGTCAAACGCGGAGAACACAGACTCATAGGTGATCAGCATTTCCCGGACTTTAAGCTGGTCTGCTTCCGGCAGCATAGAAAGATCAAGACCTAGTATGTTCTCTCGCACCGAACCCCTCTTGGCAGTGTGAGACCGGACGGTAGCTATAACTGCATCACGCTCGTCACGGACTTCGTGCACACCCGATGGCAAGCTGACTACCTCAACAGCGGATACTAGGGCCAAGGAGCAACGAGATTTTAAAGTCACCGGGGACCCACTAACATTTGTCACCGGTATGTAAGCGGTCCCTCTAACAACATTAACCAGGGTGGGTGACACCACTAACCCAGGAGGCAGACTAAACCCATGACCCAGGTGCTCAGCTAGGCTAGTCCCCGTAGCACCCACTGCAGCAGGACAGGTAGCGGCCACAAATTTTGTCGTGCCAGCAGGGATAATATTTTGTCTTCGATCTCGAACCTTTGCCACCGCCTCGCCAGCCATACAACTCTGTGCCTCTGCCTGCATACAAAGCTGAAACGCCGGTAACCAGGGTGTGGAGGCTTCCAACAGGGAAGTATTGCTAAACAAATTAGCTCCGTCCTGGTGAGAAAGCTGCTCGTAATATGCTTTTATAATATTCATCCCGATAATTCCCGGAACTGAAGTGGAGCTAGCCTGCCCTGGGGGGTCCTTAACAACCAATACTCCTCTCTTGGGAATAACTTTCCCATTGACCTCTACATCAGGCTCAAGATAACCCAGGTAGGGGATCGTCAACCCATTAGCAGCCCTCAACTCTAGCCAATGACATGACTTTAACTTGTCCTGGAAATGCTGCCTGAAGTAGGACTCTGAAATGGTGGACACCATAGACCCAGTATCAAGAATACACTGAATGGGAACCCCAGCCAATTTAACACTGACTTGAGGACAAGGGGCCATTAAACACTCCACTTCATTTCCCACTGGACTTCCTGAGCCTAACCCATCCCCTCCCACTGTCTGGCTCCTTACAGTAGGGGGCGCTAGTTTCCCAGCGGCTGAAAGTTAGTGGTGGCTAAAGTTCGGGGTCGGGGACGAGAAGGGGAATTACAGAAACGAGCAATATGGCCTGGCTGCTGGCAACGATAACATACCACTACGTTAGGGCTCGAGAATTCAGCTGGCGGAGATTGCAAAGCGGCAAGGGCTTGGGTGATTTGTGCTAGTTGTTCCTGTTGCTTCTGAACTAAAGCAGTAAGGGCGGTGATTTGAACTAAGGCATCATTACCCGGAGGGACTGACTGCAGATTAGCCCGTTGAGTAGCACATAACGAAGGCACGGCATGGAAATTTGGCCTCGCCTCAACCGGCCTGCCCTCTCGCTCCCACTTGATTGCCTCCGACCGGACATCTAGCAATTCACAGTTTGGATTGTCCCGCACTAACCGCTTTAACTCTCTTCTCAAATTGGGATCATGTACATTTTCCACAAATTGATCACGTAACCAGATTTGCGAGTTAGTCATTCTACATGGAGCATTAGCGACAACTTTATCCATTAGACAGAAAAGAGCATGGGAAAACTCTTGCAATGTTTCCCCCTCTAACTGTCTTCTAGAGAAAAAGTCTTCCTGCAGCAAAACATAAGGCTTTTGACATCCATACAACTCTTTTAAAACAGCGAACACAGTCTCTGGGTCATCCCGTTCAGCCACAGTTCTGTACTTTATTTCATCACACGCTTCACCCTCCAAATGATCAAAAATAAACGCAGCCTGGTCCGTAGGTCCAACATGTCTCACGCGCATACTTGCACGTACCTCCTCCACCCAGTCATCAATCCCAATCCCGTGAGTTCCTCGAAACATGGGGCACTTTCGTTCACGAGGAAGGTAGATGACAGTCTCTGTAGTCCCTGGGTTGTCCACTTGTCCTCTCAGACTAGGACCGGCCTCCCGCTCCTGGTGCAGCTGGGCTTGTTCCGCCTCCAACTCACGGACCCTCTCCTGAAGCCGCCGCAGTTCCTCCGCCATGACTCAGGAGTTGTGGACGTCAGCAAGTCTCCAACACGTCCCCCGGCCTGCCAGCTGCTGTTTGATTTGGCTCTCAAACTTATTTTTTATTTATTTTTTATTTTTATTTATATACACACATTTATATTTTCCTGACCCTAACAAGTAAACCAAAATTCACACTATGCTTCGCTCACCAGATCCTGCCAGCAGACGCCAATTGTGACAAAGGCAGGCTAGGGTTCCTCTAAGAATGGCAGGGAAGTCTGGTAACAAACACGAGTGAAGCAGAAATGTGGAAAAATATACAAGTTTTATTTTTGACACCAATAGTTAAAAATACAACCTTTTATTTACTGTTATTAAAATCTTTAAGATATAGCAGTGAAGGAAAACAAAACACTATTCACAACAGGTTTAATGAGCCAAACCAAACAGCAGCGGCTAACTGTTGGGTAGAGCACAGTACTGTTAGAATACACAAGACACTTAAACAAAACTTGTGAGGAACGCGGCATACCTCGCATGAACATCAACCCGGCGCAATATGAAGCTCAGGCATGAAGCGGACACCAGCAGACCACCACCTGCCGTGACACAGGTTTAGCCAAGAAAACAAACACTACTCACATGCAGAACTCACATTACTCCTCTGCCCCACACACACGACCCCAAACCCGAAGCTCCAGAGGTGTGCTGCTCTGGTTTGCGCACCGGCTTTACATTACTGCTAATTAGCTGCAGCAGCTGGTAGGCAGACAGCGAGGGAGTGAGTGCGTTCACTGACCGCCGGAATAAAACCCATAAGTAACCCGCCTGGTTACAGTTATATTGAAAGTTTTTGAGTAAATTGAGTTCGTAAAACACCTGCGCGCTGCAGCGCGGAGGCGAAGCAGCAGCGGTAGAGCTGAGAGGAGCGAGAGCAGAGCAGAAAGAGTGTTTTTTATTTTACTGACGAGGTCTTCAGTACCAGAGAAGTACTTGGTCTGGTACTGACTCACTCAGATTCAGAGGAGGAAGATACGCAGGTGTCCATTGAAGCAGACACGGACATTATTGGTGACGGGGAGACCGCGCTCCATAGTCCACAATCAGCCCCTGTACAGCGGCTGCTTGTCCTCCGTGTGGCCGCGGTAGAAGCATTCTGTGAACGCCAAGCAGGGGCCGTGGTCGAGGGGACAGGGGCATCATAACACCGGGCATGTGGAAGAAAGTAGCGGGGGTAGACATCCACGGGGAACGCGGGAGAAGTCGCGGGGGAGCCGCGGGAAAAAAACACATCGCTAATCGCGTTCACTGCCTTTACCAACAGTGGTGATGAGGATGAAGGCAGTTCTTGAGAGAAAATAATCCACAAAAGTGGATCAGAAGTGTCGAAGAGCCTGTTGTTTCTTGTTGAGACGATCTGACAAGTTCTGTGCCCTTTCATTTCATCTCTCCTTTTTCTAAACGATAAATCCTGGAGCCTCATTTCCACTGAGAAAAATAGTAAGCCCACCACTTCTTTGAAAGGGAAATATTGAAACCAATCTCCAGATTTCATGACAGTAAACTATAAAAAGTGCTCTCTTGAGCACTGAAGGTCTTTGAAAATAATACAATTCCATATGGCCGCGAACCAGTGCTAAAACATTATCTATAATCTGGATCAGGGAATTTATTTATGTCCCAAATTAATTTCATACTAAAGATATTTCACATTGACTGTTTATAGTATTCCCTGATCTCAAATAACTCCCAAGCTACAGCTTTTTGAAATCTTTATACCATAATTAACATTTTCAAAAATGGCCGCCACCTTGATGACGTCACAATATGCAAATTAGATGACGAATCAACCTCCATCCCAAAGTTTGGTTCAAACTGAAGATATTTCTAATTTACAGTATGCCTTTATCTCAAACCATTTTAAAGTTATAGCCTTTTGAAATCTTGAGATCAAAATTGTTTCAATTTTTCATTTTAGTGCGCTGGTAATGCTTTGAAGTTGTGTGCATGTTAACCTAAATTGCTGCAAATACGCCCCAGTATCTAAATCGTCGATCAAAGGGGCCTCGTTGTAAATGATAGTGACAACATGCGATGTCCAGGGACTGATCAACACCCCCTTTTAGCTAAGTCTAACCAGTGGGGGCGGGTCCCAGCTCAAAAGTGGCCAAAATGACGTGCGCTGACATGCTTGCAATACCACCCTGGGCCGATGGGGGTGGACCCAGAAGAAGAAGTAGCCAATGCTAACATATAGCATTGGCAGACCTCTCGAAAACGTCTTTACAGGATGGACCAAAAGTTGGCTCTTGGCCCAAAGCTCCGTTCCACATGTGTGTCAATGCTGAGGGGGGTGAATTTTTTTGGTCCACTCTAGTTTACTCGCTGTGAATTTTTGAAGTCTCTCGTTCAAATGAATGGAGCTGCGCCGGCTGACGCATGCGCAGATGCGTTTTTTCACAATTTTCTTGTGGGCGGGACCACTCGCGGCCATTTTGGATTGCTCCAGTAGAGCACATTTTTTGGCCCATTAGTTAGAACAGCGGAGAAAGGCGTGACTCTGTCCGTTAATATATACAGTCTATGGGTCTAACATGACTTTCCGTTAACCTTTAGCAAAAGACCTGCATGTGAGATTAGCCACCAGCAAAACGAGCCACCACCGGCTTATTATTACTAAGTGCGCGTACTTGCACATACTGTTGCTCTACCAACAGAGTAAACATAGAAGAATATCTGCTATTCAAAGTAATTTTTCAAGGGAAATCAATGCTCAAATACAAGTCATTATTGCAGCAAAACAGCGGCAGTAAGAATTGGCTCCACATTGAATCACCTCAGTGAAAGTATCCTCTCCCAACAGCACTCCAAATTGTTTGAATATGAAATTTGATGCATGCTCTATTATCATGCATAACAGCATGTAGCTACAGATAATAAGCTTCCAGCTACTAGCCTAGCATTAGCTAATAAAAGCATCTTTGATTCCAGCTATTAGCCTACCATTAGCTCCAGCTAGCATAAACATCTTGATCTCCTGCTACTAGCCTAGCCTTAGCTAATTCAAGCATCTTTACCTCCGGCTATCATGATAGCATTAGCTATCTCCATCAAAGAATTGAAAATCCCAGGCAAATAGTCTTGCCAGTTCATATGAATAAAGACCCTCTAGTGAACTCTAGATGGAACATACTGACGTCAAAAATTCCCTTTGACTGACGTGTTCGAGTTGATGCAGAAGTATGACAAAAGATTCTCCAAGTTTAACATCTGTATTTAATTTATCTTGACAATCAGATACAGAAGATTCAAACAAAAGAGCTCCTAAACTATGCTATGCTGTCCCTCGCTGGCCCTGTGCTGACTGACTGAAAATCTCCTCCCAGCAGTTTCTATCAGAGGGTCCGATGACGTCACAGGTCTGGGACTGGACTCCGGTCTAGTCTCCGGTCTGGACCCTGGTCCCGGTCTTGGTCCTCCATATCAGCCTAAGCAAACAATGGCCCCCACCCGTGCGGCGCCTGTGTGGGACTTAGACAAACGCAGCTGCTGCGGGGGGTTCCATAGGTCAAAATTGTCACACATGTGTTTTAGTCTGTCAGGCCTGGTCCGTGGCCTGACACACTAATTCCACTACTATCTTGTGTCCTTGGGGTTTTTTCCTGAGTGCCCAGGTGGGCAGCACGGTGGCTGAGTGGATAGCACTCTCGCCTCTTAGCAAGAAGGGCCTGGGTTCGAATCCCGGCCGGACCAGGGCCTTTCTGAGTGGAGTTTGCATGTTCTCCCTGTGTCTGCGTAGGTTTCCTCCGGGTACTCCGGTTTCCCCTACCGCTAAAAATATGTCCAATAGTTCTGGCATGTGCTTCCTGTACTGGCCCCGCTCCCATCTCTGTGTGGAGTGAGAGACAAATGCCCAACATTAACAATTGTAAACCGCTTTGAGACTCAGATCTGCAGTGAAAAGGCGGTATATAAATAAAAACTTACTTACTTACTTACTTACAGGTCTTTGTTGGCTATGATGTTCAAATGGTCAATATTGTCACATCTGTATAGTGTATATTTAAAATATACAACATTTTCCCTCTTTTGACCTGATTAAAAAATTAGGTCACAATCTTCAATAACCCTTCTGGGTGACCGGACTGGGGAGATCTTCCATCCTCGCCAACATCTTAGTTTTGGCTCGTTATCTGTGAAGAATTAATACAGGGAAAACAAACAACACACAACCACATTCGAAACATATGTTTTTATCTAATAAATCCCTCTATACTATGGTTTTGCTCATTTTTTCCAAATACATTTTGTTGAACCAGGAAGTGCTGTCACTTCCTCCTCTCAGACAGTTTGGGATGAATGTACATCATTAATCAAATTGGTATTATCCTTACAAGAGCTAATCTATTTTAGCAGGTTTCTCTGGGGTCAGTCCCTCTACAACGGTATTTGATTCTCTAATCTATTGCTGACAAATCGACAGCTCTTAAAATTCTCAAAAATACCCAAATATCTACGTTTGTGCTATACCCAAATACATTAAAATGCTTTTAAATGTTTTTGAATCTGTGTTGGTTCTTATCTATCTCATTAATCTAGGCTACACTCATTAACTTCTTGCATTGTCAACATTCACCTATGTTTGAAACAAGTGAATTTGACAAGTATCTAATAGAACTGTGCATAAACTGTAATGAACCTTATCTACTTTTGAAGTAAATACTTTTGGACATATTATGAAGGAAATGGTCCTTTTACCGTTTGATTTTTAGCCCTGGCTAAAAATAATCTCTATTTTTGAAAGCATCTATCTATTTCTACTCTTGTGACTCCAAAGCTCGGTTGTAGCTTGAGCCAAAGCATATTCCCAATTTGTGACTTCTGTCACTTTCAATGGCTGTAAATAATTCTGATTCTAACAGTTTAGCTGCTCTATCAGAAGGATCACAATGTATGGTACTATTTTAACTCTTACTCTGAAGTTTGTTTATGAACAATGATCAAATTCTACTTTTTCTACTATTTAACATTTA